GAGATTAAATAAAGATGATGAGAAGGAATAAAGTAGGAAAGTTTAATAAAGATGACACACCACTAAAGGTGTTAAGGATTAACAAAGATGACACACCACTAAAGTTTTAATTTTGTTTGCAGGGATATTCCTGCCCGGGCCCTAAGCCTCTGGCTGGCCCACTGGGCGGGCCCTAAGCCTCTGGCTGGCCCACTGGGCGGGCCCTAAGCCTCTGGCTGGCCCACTGGGCGGGCCCCTAAGCCTCTGGCTGGCCCACTGGGCGGGCCCTAAGCCTCTGGCTGGCCCACTGGGCGGGCCCTAAGCCTCTGGCTGGCCCACTGGGCGGGCCCTAAGCCTCTGGCTGGCCCACTGGGCGGGTCCCTAAGCCTCTGGCTGGCCCACTAAGTGTTTCTTTTTTCTGTTTTACTTGGGCGGAGTATGAGTATTTATGACTCGTATGGTCGCTTCAGTAAGATTTTGTCCCACGTGTTTAACAACTTCTTCTGCTCTGTTGAATCTAAGTTGAAATCTTAATGGATTTGTAACTGTGCACTGTGTTAGATAATGTTCCAGTGGTCTGTCGGGCATTTCTCCACAGTGCTGACATTTCCTCTCATCTTCTGGAACCTGTAAGCCTATTTCCCATGCACATGGGTATCCAAGCCTGATGCGATGTAAGTGCACTTCTGTTGTTCTACTCCTCCCTTTCATCAAGCTAAGTGGTTCGTAGTTGGTTGAACTTTTGTACCAACCCGCAGATCCTGATGTTGTAACTGCTGTGTTGTGGTCACTGTACATCTTTTGCATTGCTCTGTTTCTAATTACTTTCTTAACCTGTGACAGACTGTGGTATGTAGTCTACATTTCTTCTCTTAGTTGCAAGTTTTGCAGCCTCGTCTGCAATGTCATTTCCTATTATTCCCACATGACTTGGTACCCAGTTGATAAGTACCCGTCGGCCTTGTCGTTTGAGTGTTTGCATTAATGATATGACATTTGTGATCAGATGGATGTTATCACATATGTGTTCTTATTGCAAGGTCTCAATGGCGGTTCTCGAATCTGTATGTATCATAACATGTTGTCGGTGTTCAGCAAGAGCATGTTCCGGAGCCTTTTGAATGGCTAGCATCTCTGTTTGTAAAGTCGAACATCCATTTGAGAGTCTCGAACTATTTACAGAGTTTCCAGCTTTAACTGCAGCTCCGGTTTCTTGTTCCTGCTGGTCTACTGATCCATCTGTGAAGTAAGTGAAGCTGTCGGATGCCAAGTTTGCTCCTATATGCATCTGTGCAATGTTACGTAGCAGGTGAGGATTTGTCTGGTTCTTTCTAGGTGGTGTTGCCGCCTAGTCTCATTGCCTTAGACTTCTGTGCAGATATTTTTAGCCCTGAAATGCTGCATTCAGATGTTACTTTATCTAACGCCTCTTGTGCTGTATTTAGAAGTGAAGGACCTGTAATGACTAATGCTATATCATCAGCATACCTTAGCAGTTTAACCCCTTCTGTAAATGTCATAGTAACAAGGTTTTCCATAAGGATGTTAAAAAGACTAGGACTGAGGACTCCTCCTTGTGGAGTCCCATTCACATACAAGTGGTAGTCCGACACTTGTCCTTGCAACTTTACTCTGGCATACCTTCTTGAATCCATGCTAGCATTTTTCCCTTTACACCTTTTTTAACTAAGGTGTGTAAAATTGCTTGCGGGCTTGCAAGTTCAAATGCTTTTTCCAGATCAAGGAAGATCACTATAGCTGGACCCGAGTTAACTGTTCCTAGTAATGTTGCTATGCAGTTTGCAGTACCTACTCCTCTAGTGAAGCCAAATATGTGTTTATGAAGGTCTCCAGTCTTCCACAGTAGCCTATTTAAGACCATCCGTTCTGCAGTTTTACTAATGCATGATGTTAATGAAATGGGTCTGTAATTGCCAGGTTCATTCGGCTTAGGAATTGTAATGATGTCTTCTTTCTTCCAAGAGGTCGGTAGTTTGCCTTGCTGCCAAGATGCATTGATAACGTCCAATATCCCTTGTTCTCCAGCAGGACCTGCGTGTGTGATCATTGAGTATGTAATGTTATCAGCACCTGGTGCAGTGTCCTTACCACCTTTTATGGCTCTGATTAGTTCTTGTTTGGTGAAGGGACAGTCACATTCGTCATTTGTAGCTATGCTCTCATGAATGACTGTCAACCTCTCTTGTTTTAATTGTTCTTGCTGCCTTCGGACCATTACAGGAAGCTGATATGAAGCTGTTCTTTCTGCAAATTAGAGAAGTCTCTCAGCCTCCTGCAATGGTTGACCAGCCTGTGGTCGGGCTGGACGACCTGATATAGTTTTAATCTGACCACATATCTTGCCAAGACTACTATGTTCATTTAGAGTTTGACACCACTCAAACCATCTTGCCTCCTTTACCTCTCTAGAAACTCGTCTTGTTTCAGATATCACCGCTCTTAGCAGAGTTCTTCCTTCTGGTGTGGGGTTTCTCTTTAGATGTTTTCTGAAGATGTTGACTCTGTGGTTCAGTTCTTTAACATCATTACTTTAGAACCAATAGTTCTTTCGTTTTGTGTTACCTGTGATAATGATTGGAATAGCTTTGTTTGCAGCAGCTGCAATGGCTTCCTGCAGATTGGTCTCGTGTATGTTCAATTCCTCAGGTGGCGTGTATGTTGCATACCATTTTTCAAGTTCCTCTTGGTATATATATTCCAATTGGCATATTTTAAATTTCACCTAGATTGTGTGTTGTTGTGTAGTGTGGTGTTGTGTGGTGTGGTGTTGTGTAGTGTGGTGTTGTGTAGTGTGGTGTGGTGTAGTGTGGTGTTGTGTGGTGTGGTGTTGTGTAGTGTGGTGTTGTGTAGTGTGGTGTTGTGTAGTGTGGTGTTGTGTAGTGTGGTGTTGTGTAGTGTGGTGTTGTGTAGTGTGGTGTGGTGTAGTGTGGTGTTGTGTGGTGTGGTGTTGTGTAGTGTGGTGTTGTGTAGTGTGGTGTTGTGTGGTGTGGTGTTCTGTGGTGTGGTGTTGTGTAGTGTGGTGTTGTGTAGTGTGGTGTTGTGTAGTGTGGTGTTGTGTAGTGTGGTGTTGTGTAGTGTGGTGTTGTGTAGTGTGGTGTTGTGTGGTGTGGTGTTGTGTAGTGTGGTGTTGTGTAGTGTGGTGTTGTGTGGTGTGGTGTTGTGTGGTGTGGTGTTGTGTGGTGTGGTGTTGTGTGGTGTGGTGTTGTGTGGTGTGGTGTTGTGTGGTGTGGTGTTGTGTGGTGTGGTGTTGTGTGGTGTGGTGTTGTGTGGTGTGGTGTGTGGTGTGGTGTTGTGTGGTGTGGTGTTGTGTGGTGTGGTGTTGTGTGGTGTGGTGTTGTGTGGTGTGGTGTTGTGTGGTGTGGTGTTGTGTGTTGTGTGGTGTTGTGTGGTGTGGTGTTGTGTGGTGTGGTGTGTGGTGTGTGTGTGTGTGTTGTGTGGTGTGGTGTTGTGTCGTGTGGTGTTGTGTAGTGTGGTGTTGTGTAGTGTGGTGTTGTGTAGTGTGGTGTTGTGTAGTGTGGTGCTGTGTAGTGTGGTGTTGTGTGGTGTGGTGTTGTGTAGTGTGGTGTTGTGTAGTGTGGTGTTGTGTAGTGTGGTGTGGTGTAGTGTGGTGTGGTGTAGTGTGGTGTGGTGTAGTGTGGTGTGGTGTAGTGTGGTGTTGTGTAGTGTGGTGTTGTGTAGTGTGGTGTTGTGTAGTGTGGTGTTGTGTAGTGTGGTGTTGTGTAGTGTGGTGTTGTGTGGTGTGGTGTTGTGTGGTGTGTTGTTGTGTAGTGTGGTGTTGTGTGGTGTGGTGTTGTGTAGTGTGGTGTTGTGTAGTGTGGTGTTGTGTGGTGTGGTGTTGTGTAGTGTGGTGTTGTGTAGTGTGGTGTTGTGTGGTGTGGTGTTCTGTGGTGTGGTGTTGTGTAGTGTGGTGTTGTGTGGTGTGGTGTTGTGTGGTGTGGTGTTGTGTAGTGTGGTGTTGTGTAGTGTGGTGTTGTGTGGTGTGGTGTTCTGTGGTGTGGTGTTGTGTAGTGTGGTGTTGTGTGGTGTGGTGTTGTGTAGTGTGGTGTTGTGTAGTGTGGTGTTGTGTGGTGTGGTGTTGTGTGGTGTGTTGTTGTGTAGTGTGGTGTTGTGTGGTGTGGTGTTGTGTGGTGTGGTGTTGTGTAGTGTGGTGTTGTGTAGTGTGGTGTTGTGTAGTGTGGTGTTGTGTAGTGTGGTGTTGTGTAGTGTGGTGTTGTGTAGTGTGGTGTTGTGTGGTGTGGTGTTGTGTGGTGTGGTGTTGTGTAGTGGGTGTTGTGTAGTGTGTAATGGTGATGTGTAATGTAGTGTGGTTGTGTTGGAGAGGATGTGGAGAGAGAGAGAGAGAGAGAGAGAGAGAGAGAGAGAGAGAGAGAGAGAGAGAGAGAGAGAGAGAGAGAGAGAGAGAGAGAGAGAGAGAGAGAGAGAGACAGAGACAGACAGAGAGACAGAGAGAGACAGAGACAGAGACACAGAGAGAGACAGAGACAGAGAGAGAGAGACAGAGAGAGAGACAGAGACAGAGAGACAGAGAGACACAAAGAGAGAGGAGGAGACAGATACGGACAGGTATACACAGAGAGGCGGGACCACAGAGCCAAAGCTCAACCCCCGCAAGCACAAATAGGTCAGTAGAGAGAGACAGGAGGACACAGACAGACTCCAAAGACAGAAGAAAGTAACGTCAAATGGCAGGAAAATGTGCCAGTAATTGTTGGTCATGTTTTCCCGCTTTTTGCTTAACTGAATTAAAATAAAACTATTAATTGTTCCCAAGACTACGATTTGGGCTCCGGTATATTAAACCCAAGATGGAGACTCCGTGAGTAACTCTGTCTGTCTGTCTGTCTCTGTCTGTCTGTCTGTCTGTCTCTCTCTGTCTGGCTCTCTCTCTCTCTCTCTCTCTCTCTCTCTCTCTCTCTCTCTCTCTCTCTCTCTGTCTCACAGTGGATGAGGACTCACCTCGTGGTGGATGAGGACTCACCTCCGGGTGGATGAGGACTCACCTCCGGGTGGATGACGACGCGGGTGACGGGGAACTCCTCGTGCTTGAGGGGCTCAGCGGTGGTGCTGACGTCGTACTCCCCTAAGCGCACCTTCAGCACCTCCGCCAGGCGGCTCCCTGAGTCCAGGCTGCCCGAGGGAGAGGAGAGAGAGGGAGGGGGAGAAGAAGAGACAGTTAGTGTGTGTCTTTATCTTTCAATATCCCGGCCTTAACCACCATCTATCATATTACATGGTTAATATTCTCAAAGTTCTGCCCCTGATCAAACTTCGTGGACGACCAGAAGTTTGCACCCCATAACACAAGGCGCTCAGCTATCAACAGCCTCATGCTGGTGGTGTCTTTCTCAAGAACAGCACTCCATCAGCGGTCATTCCTAAGCTGACTCCCATCTGGGACCTGCTCCCACAACACCTTGAGATGCCACAGATGAAGTCTCTCTACCACATGAAGGCTCCGGCACGCAGCTGGCTCGTGGCCCGTCCTCTTCCTTACGTGAGTGTTATACTTAACATTAAAGTTAGTTTATTACTAATATATACACATAATAATCTCGTCGGATAAATTAGTCTTTAGGCGCAGCTTCAGATAACAGCTCTTGTGTGAGGCTTCACCAGACACCTTAATGGTATTCTTTGAACTATGGGTCTAGTTACAGATACACTGAGAGAGAGAGAGAGAGAGAGAGAGAGAGAGAGAGAGAGAGAGAGAGAGAGAGAGAGAGAGAGAGAGAGAGAGAGAGAGAGAGAGAGAGAGAGAGAGAGAGAGAGAGAGAGACAGAGAGAGAGAAACAGATATAATTACAGTTTAACTAAGTGTTCAGTATGTAATGTTGTAATACTCGGTGTCTCAACAGAGTCCCTAATGTCTATCTTACCATTAAACACTCTAAACCCCTTCTTACATCCCTTAACTCAACCCCCCCCCCCCCGCTCTAACCCACCCCTTAGTACCCCTTACCCACCCCTTGGTGCCCATACCCAGCTGATGTGTGGTGGTATGGATGGTTGTGGTGTTGTGGATGGTTGTTGTGGTGTGGTGGTTGTGGTGGGGTGGACCTCCCTTTAACCGGACCACGAGACACAGTAACTGTGTCTCACAGTATCCGTACGGTGAGACACTCGGCGCCTCGTACGGACCAGAGGAATGTGTTAATGAACGCATCGTACCGTTTAATCCAAGTGTAATTACCTTGGGATGGTTACCTTGGGGTAGTTACAGGACGAGAACTACTGTCCCGTCTGGCCGGTCATCTTTGTCGTAGGACGACTGGTAACTACTGACGGTTTTGGCCTCCACCACCTTCTGCCACTCTGTGTGTGTGTGTGTGTGTGTGTGTGTGTGTGTGTGTGTGTGTGTGTGTGTGTGTGTGTGTGTGTGTGTGTGAGTGTGTGTGTGTGTGTGTGTGAGTGTGTGAGTGTGTATGTGTGTGTGTGTGAGTGTGTATGTGTACTCACCTATATGTACTCACCTATATGTGCTTGCAGGATCGAGCATTGACTCTTGGATCCCGCCTTTCTAGCTATCAGTTGTTTACAGCAATGACTCCTGTCCCATTTCCCTATCATACCTAGTTTTAAAAGTATGAATAGTATTTGCTTCCACAACCTGTTCCCCAAGTGCATTCCATTTTTCTACTACTCTCACGCTAAAAGAAAACTTCCTAACATCTCTGTGACTCATCTGAGTTTCCAGTTTCCACCCATGTCCCCTCGTTCTGTTATTATTACGTGTGAACATTTGATCTATTTCCACTTTGTCAATTCCCCTGAGTATTTTATATGTCCCTATCATATCTCCTCTCTCCCTTCTTTTCTCTAGTGTCGTAAGGTTCAGTTCCTTCAGCCGCTCTTCATATCCCATCCCTCGTAGCTCTGGGACAAGCCTCGTCGCAAACCTCTGAACCTTCTCCAGTTTCTTTATGTGTTTCTTCAGGTGGGGGCTCCATGATGGCGCGGCATACTCTAAGACGGGTCTCACGTAGGCAGTGTAAAGCGCCCTAAAAGCTTCCTCATTTAGGTTTCTGAATGAAGTTCTAATTTTCGCCAGTGTAGAGTACGCTGCTGTCGTTATCCTATTTATATGTGCCTCAGGAGTTAGATTAGGTGTCACATCCACTCCCAGGTCTCTTTCTCGAATCGTTACAGGTAGGCTGTTCCCCTTCATTGTGTACTGTCCCTTTGGTCTCCTGTCACCTGATCCCATTTCCATAACTTTACATTTACTGGTGTTAAACTCCAGTAGCCATTTCCCTGACCATCTCTGCAGCCTGTTTAAGTCCTCTTGGAGGATCCTACAATCCTCGTCTGTCACAACTCTTCTCATTAATTTTGCGTCATCCGCAAACATTGACATGTATGATTCCACTCCTGTAAACATATCATTTACGTAAATTAGAATGTGTGTGTGTGTATGTGTGTGTGTGTGTGTGTATGTGTGTGTGTGTGTGTGTGTGTGTGTGTGTGTGTGTGTGTGTGTGTGTGTGTGTGTGTGTGTGTGTGTAGACCATAAGACATGTAACTTCTAAAAAACAAGCTAATTATAACTCGTAAAGGCATTTAGATTTACCTTATGAAGAATTAATTCGAACTTTCCAGGTGTAATTAATAACTAATGAATGATATCATCACTGACACCTGGTCTAAGACACGAGTATTTGCAGGAGCAGGAGCAGGAGGAGCAGGAGAAGGAAGAGGAGAAGGAGCAGGAGAAGGAGCAGGAGAAGGAGCAGAAGAAGGAGCAGGAGAAGGAGCAGGAGAAGGAGCAGAAGAAGGAGCAGGAGAAGGAGCAGGAGAAGGAGCAGAAGAAGGAGCAGGAGAAGGAGCAGGAGAAGGAGCAGAAGAAGGAGCAGGAGAAGGAGCAGGAGAAGGAGCAGAAGAAGGAGCAGGAGAAGGAGCAGGAGAAGGAGCAGAAGAAGGAGCAGGAGAAGGAGCAGGAGAAGGAGCAGAAGAAGGAGCAGGAGAAGGAGCAGGAGAAGGAGCAGAAGAAGGAGCAGGAGAAGGAGCAGGAGAAGGAGCAGTAGAAGGAGCAGGAGAAGGAGCAGGAGAAGGAGCAGAAGAAGGAGCAGGAGAAGGAGCAGGAGAAGGAGCAGAAGAAGGAGCAGAAGGAGCAAGAGAAGGAGGAGGAGGAGGTTAAGGAAGAGGGAAGACTCACTAGTCGTCGACACAGTGGGCGGCTGTGAGGATCCACTCCTCGTCCAGGAGTGAGGCGCCACACACGTACAGATCCTGTGGCTGTTCCAAGATGGCCGCCTGCAAAACAAGCGACTGTCGTCATATACAAACAAGTGACTAACGCATGTAAACAATAAACTCACAAAAACTTTAATACTATGAAAAGACAAACAAAATAAACTATTAATATAAAATAAACAAAAAACAAGTATAAACTGAATTGACAATTAATACTTCAAAATATAACAAACTAAAAAATGAAGAGAAAAATTGCACGGAAAATGGAAAAATAAAGTTAAAGGTACAAAAATGAAGACAATTAAACATGAAATAGTTGGTAAACACAAAATATAAAACAAATAAAAACAATGACAAGCAACTCAAGGTTATAAACAACAGTCAAACAAATAAAGAGCCAATCATTCTGAAGTGAAAAGCAGAACGGAAATAAGTAAAATATGTCGTGATGAATGATAGGAAAGTCTGTTGGTCTCTCTCTCTCTCTCTCTCTCTCTCTCTCTCTCTCTCTCTCTCTCTCTCTCTCTCTCTCTCTCTCTCTCTCTCTCTCTCTCTCTCTCTCTCTCTCTCTCTCGTCACTATCACTTTAAACCCTGGCTCTATCTCTCTCACACGCTTCTTATCTCTATCAATTTATCTCCCACCCTATCTCACTCACTCTCATATATATAAAGATACTCACATGTACATATAGATACACACATGTAACTTCAGATATACAAATAAACAAACAGATACACACACATACAAATAGATACACACACATACAAACAGATACACACAAATACAAACAGATACACATACAAACAGATACACACGCATACAAACAGATACACACAAATACAAACAGATACACATACAAACAGATACACACGCATACAAACAGATACACACAAATACAAACAGATACACATACAAACAGATACACACGCATACAAACAGATACACACACTGCTACGGTTATCCCTGCATAACACTGGACTCTGCTTGTTCCTCACGTCGTCAATATCAGTTTGCTCATATATTGTCCGTCAACATCAAGAACTGCCAACAATACCTGCCACAACGTACTGTCTAGTCTCTCCTTCTCCTTCCACCAGAGTCCAGCACCTGCGACTCACCGGCTCCAAGTTACCAACCAGCAAACTACCACTTACCGGTTCCTCAGCTTCGCGCCAGTATGACGTCCCCGCCCGTATATAAGGGCTGGCCGAGGCCGTGGTCAAGCAGAAACCATCTGGTGCTCTCAGCTCACATGTGTTTTCCCTTACCATGACGTTCTTAGGAACGGTTGACATTCAGAGCACATTGTATAGTGTCACGTTCATCTTTTGTCAGTAATGTAAATTCACTTGAATATATATTTTCTTTTTGATTGCGTTAAGCTAAGTGGTTATGAGGTTTTGTCATTTATGGTTTATCATTGTTTTTGGTAAGATTAAAGTAAATTTTTGCTAAGGTTTGTTATATTAAATATGTAAGTGTTTATTTTCTTGTTTTTCACCGGCAATTCGTACATAGTAAAGGATTCAATAGCTTTATTTTATTTTGTTTTCTCAATTTTTTATATTAATGAGGGATTGGCATAACACTTGTCAGGACAGTTACTGCGCTAGTCCAGGTCACATCACGACACATATACAGCTGCACACATATACAAACAGCAGCACCCATATCAACTCATGTACACGAGGTACGGGAGATGACGCCGGAGCGCGCGCACACACACACACACACATACACCCACACACACACACGACATACACACACACACACACACGCTCAGGTGGTACATGAAGGAGAGGGAAGACTCACATGCCAGGGCCACTCAGACATCTCTGCCTGGCCGTCCTTCCTGCCGTCGGAGCCCTTGGTGCCGCATGACTTCTTCTTGTTCCTGAGCGGGAGGATGCCGATGGGGCTGGCGTTGAGGGGCACGAAGCAACACACGCTGGAGGCGCTCAGGCCGCAGTAGCTGTATGGCTGGCCTCCGCTGGTGGGGGGGGGGGGGCAAGGTTACTGTCTTAGTCTCTCTCTGTGATGCTTGTACTCACCTAATTGTGCTTGCGGGGGTTGAGCTCTGGCTCTTTGGTCCCGCCTCTCAACCGTCAATCAACTGGTGTACAGATTCCTGAGCCTACTGGGCTCTATCATATCTACATTTGAAACTGTGTATGGAGTCAGCCTCCACCACATCACTTCCTAATGCATTCCATTTACTAACTAAATCCACTTGTGTGTGTGTGTGTGTGTGTGTGTGTGTGTGTGTGTGTGTGTGTGTGTGTGTTGTATGTGTGTGTCGTGTGTGTGTGTACTCACCTATATGTGCTTGCAGGATCGAGCATTGACTCTTGTGTGTGTGTGTGTGTGTGTGTGTGTGTGTGTGTGTGTGTGTGTGTGTGTGTGTGTGTGTCGTGTGCACGGAGAAGTTTTATGAGTAATTTCATAAGCATTGGAGAACTACATGCACAAAATATAAACAGAAAGGTGCTGCATATCCTCTTCTTCGAGGCTGAGGGTCCTTACGACAGCCCCTCCTCCGAATAGCCAGTACGTTTTAATAGTAAATGTAATAAGTACAATCCTGACTACAGGCTTAGTACATAAATACACTTAATCGCCAGAATCGCACCAAAATATTCTGAATACTAGAGTTTACCTGAAAAGTTGAATAGAAAAACCACGACCTAACCTAACCTTCTTAGTGTATGAGGACAAGCATTTTATTGCTTCTTAATTACAATTTGTACTTAATCTATAGCTATACTGATATTACAGTTTTATAAAACTAATAAAACAAAACTAAAATCTTTCAATAAATTATAAAGTAACTCAGGATATTTTCAAATTTATTATAAAATCTCTATTGTTTAATAAAAATGAAAAAGAAATTCTTTATATTTAAAACTTGTGTATATAGAATTGAACATGAAAACTTCATCCTAAAATTTTGAGTGTCTTATCAGAAAATGAGGAGAATATATGGGGAGATTAATGTAACAGCACAATAAGTGTAATTATGCGCTATGCAGAACAGTCTGGAAATGTACTTATTTCATTAAGTATGAAAATGTACTGTCTATTTCTATTTGGAGGATGTGTTGCCCTACAAACACATCCAGAGGTGATAGCCCTATACATAATTTAATATATATATATATATATATATATGAATATATATATATATATATATATATATATATATATATATATATATATATATATATATATATATATATATATATATATATATATATAACTTATTTAATCAAATAATGCGGTGTGATTAAATCCACGTTTCTGGTCGCCCCAAAATATTCACTACATACCTAAAAACAAGTCTACTGAACTTAAATGTAGTTTAAAACACCTTGCTAGTGAACACAATCCAATTCTCACGTGATGGAGGACCAGACTCGTGGGTTCAGTCCCATCCCAGTGTCTCACTAATATATCATATATACACAAATAGAATAACCAGCACGATATCCGTCCACCACCTCCTGTGAAGGGGGGGGGGTTGAGGAGGGGGCAGGAAGAGCGGGGGCTGAGGAGGGGGGCAGGGAGAGCGGGGGTTGAGGAGGGGGGCAGGAAGAGCGGGGGCTGAGGAGGGGGGCAGGGAGAGCGGGGGTTGAGGAGGGGGGCAGGAAGAGCGGGGGCTGAGGAGGGGGGCAGGGAGAGCGGGGGTTGAGGAGGGGGGGCAGGAAGAGCGGGGCTGAGGAGGGGGGCAGGGAGAGCGGGGGTTGAGGAGGGGGGCAGGAAGAGCGGGGGTTGAGGAGGGGGCAGGAAGAGCGGGGGGCTGAGGAGGGGGGCAGGGAGAGCGGGGGTTGAGGAGGGGGGCAGGAAGAGCGGGGGTTGAGGAGGGGGGCAGGGAGAGACGCGTCATGATCGACCAGTCGTGACCCGAGGCGGGCAGGTGGCGGACATACTTCAAGAGACCTAATTAGGTAATGTCTGGCTCTCACCTGGAGCGTTGGTCCGCCGGAGGGAGGGAGACAGGGAGAGAGGGAGGGACAGGGTAGGAGGGATATGTAGGGAGGCCAAATTAAGAAAGAAAAGAAGCCAAGGAAAGCCGAAGTAGAATATTCAGGAAGCCAATTAGATGACCAATATATATATATATATATATATATATATATATATATATATATATATATATATATATATATATATATATATAAATATATATATATATATATATATATATATATATATATATATATATATATATATATATATATATATACATACACACACTATCAATCCACCCTTACCCCAGACCAATATACATACAGGTATACAACGTCTCACCTCGTGATACAGGTCCAATACTCCATACAATGGCAACCAAATTCGTTCTCGTGGTCGTTTTGCGGCGCCCCGCGAGTGGTGGTGGTGGCCACCAGCACCAGCACCACCACACACCTCACACACACGCTCCTGTATGGGGGAGGGAGGGAGGGAGGCTTTAGCTGAATGTTCCAGTGAAATAGGGTTGATAACTGGGGCTCCATGATGAAGTGCAGAGAAAGGGGGGACAAAGAAATAGTGAATCAAAATGAGAAATAGAATCAGTGTTGTAACTTTAATATTAAACACTTGAAATCTAAATTCTTTGAAAGTATGTGAAACTTAATAGGTAAAGAAATTGGTGAGCAAGTTGCGGGAAATTTTACCTACTATATCAATATTATTATCTAAGAAATGTATTATTTCTATATTATATAATAATTATACCAGAATCACTACATATTCACTATATCCTACGGGACAATGCCACCTGTGATCACGTACACCATAGGGCCCTATAGGTGCCTACGTGACTTAGTACATGATATCTCAAAGATCTAGAAGCTTCGAGAAGAATACCTTAATTAATGAACTATTGGAACAATCAATCGATTTCCGGTAAGGATTAAATCAAATCCTTAATATGAATCAGTAGTATGAACAAATCCACAAGGGCCGTGACGAGGATTCGAACCTGCGTCCGAGAGCATCCCAGGCGCTGCCTTAATCGACTGAGCTACGACATGGTGAAAAGGAGTTGAAACCAAAGTTCTACTGAACTTACTGGATCCTGCAGCCTCTCCGAGGCACAACCAGGGTTTTACACAACTCCCCCCCATGCACTCGAGCTATGTCAATAGGCCGTTCTCCCTCTCGATTAAGGCAGCGCCTGGGATGCTCTCGGACGCAGGTTCGAATCCTCGTCACGGCCCTTGTAGATTTGTTCATTTGATGCATCACGCAATTGTGATTTCTGTGTGTAATCAATAGTATAGCAAGTACAACTTATAATCTTTAAATCTTATATCTATATTATAATCACATCTTATCTCAATCATATGTCTAGACAGTAAAATTAATCAATCAATTTCCATTGAAAGCTGCCCACTTTAGGGAGAGGGTGGAGCCAAACTCGGGAGAGAAGTGGCCTATGGGGCGCCCCGGGGCAGAAAGCGTTTGTTTACTAAACAGTGAAAACGTGTAATGATGCCTTATGAACATTATTCTGCAAAGGACACCATAATAACATATCTTTATCACCAGTGATTACTCTCTAGCACTGGGGGAGTACCTGGACAATATCTACAACGAAAATTCCTAGTACATTATCTAAAATTCCTAGTATATTATCTACAATTCCTGGTACATTATCTAAAATTCCTAGTACATTATCTAAAATTCCTAGTACATTATCTAAAATTCCTAGTACATTATCTAAAATTCCTAGTATATTATCTAAAATTCCTAGTATATTATCTAAAATTCCTAGTACATTATCTAAAATTCCTAGTACATTATCTAAAATTCCTAGTACCAGAACAATATACAGCAAACCGGTGACATAAAACATTGTGCCTAAACTCTACCAGAGAGTTATCCAGTCTGGCCACTTGTCAGATGGCACCCGCCAATCAGACATAAGTATATAGTGTTATTGTGTGTTAATTGGCCAATTGCATGCTTGTATAACCTTGATATATCCAATAAGTCTGTTTGTCGTTATATTTTTGGTGGGGCAACGCCTCATATTTCAGAAAGTTTTTATTAATCTTGCAGCGACTGAATCTTTTCACAGCAACCAGACACTCGTGAGGTACACACCCTCATGAGTGTCCTTGTCTCAGAAAAGTCATGTCAAGCCCAACTGAAGCTCTTCATGTAAATTGAATATATATCTGATATAATTGATAATATACGTTAAGTTAACAATTGCTTACTTGGTTATCTTTAATTTATTATATAAGTTTATCAAATTGAATATAATCTTTAGTATTTAGTTAACAGTATTTAGACCACATTTAAAGTCATTTATTATCATATCTCTATAATACTAATTGTTGTGTTTATTAGTATAAGAATATTGGCTGTTATAGTTATGGTGCTGGGCTGTACATGTTTAGATCCCTGATTTAAACTGAACCAGTGTTCAATTATAGAACTGAATTATTAAATCTTATCTTTGTATTAACAATACAAGCTGCTGTGTAAAAATTGTCTGCAGGTGGATTGTGGATCTTCAATCAACTTCTCCATTCATCCTTAGGGGCCCCACCTGCCCCTTACAGCCCACATGCAGTCTGTTATTAGGAAAGAGGAGCTAGGATTTATGACCCTAGCTGGGGACTTTAGTTGAATTAAATTTGCAAACAGTATTTTTTTAATTTAGTACAGTACAAGTCCCTAATAGTTCTCCTTACATATCTTTTCCGACAGTTTTTCCCACACAAGTGAATAGTGCAGAGAAAAAAAGATAAAGAAATTAGGAAAGTAAATTGAGAATGGACCTTGTGAGATAACATAAACACAAATGAGTTACATAAATCTCATACAAATTTTATTGTCAGCTAACTTGTCAATTATTGTCATATTCATAGTCAACTAACACAACACCTGTACCCCCCTATTGGACTATTTTCCAGGAACTTCCTTTCGACAGCTCATAAAACGGAGGAAAGGGTCCTGAAAGATATTGTTGATAGGAACGTTATCCCTACAAACAAAAAACAGAAAATGCAATTGACGATTTACTATAAAACCAAGAAAACGGCCAATCATATATCATATGATGTGTATCTTCTTACACATCAAGAAGTCAACACCAGCAATCAACAGCCAATTAATGCACAACTATATTCTACCCACTTCAAGACTCTGCACCAATATAGAAGCATAAAAAAATATGGGCCAATAGGCCCTCTGCAATTACTTCCATTCTTACCTTCAATTTATCCAATTAATACCCATTGTTTCGTGTTCTGTCCTGTGTTGAAAGTTTTGTTCACCTCATCCAAAACTGTTGTAACATATCACCTCGCCGAAAATGCGGGTATAAAATAAAATGAAAGCTGTTTAAATCATAGCATAGTAAGAACTCTGTTTAGTGTTTGCAGGTTATAGTTGTGTGTGTGTAAACTAAAAATCTTTGAAAAGGTAATAAGTTATTACGAAACGAGTTCAAGTGTCGCGTCAGACTAGAAATAAAAACGAATTTTCGAGAATTGATTTTTCAATTACCATCAACAGTGAAAAGAAACATAAGAAGTATTGAGAAATTCGTGTTAAAATTATTAATCTTACTTTTTCGGTCATATTTAATAATATATGTCTACAGGAAAGACTGCTACCAATATATATATATATATATATATATATATATATATATATATATATATATATATATATATATATATATATATATATATATATATACACACACACATACACACTAGCAACCTGTCCCCAGACAAATGTATTTTAAGTTTCCGTAAAAATATTTAAGTCCACCTCAAAATTACTTTAACTATCAAATGCTGCAAAACGTTTTCTGTGAAATTTTCTACCGTCAACTATAATATTTTCATGAACCTGGTCTGTCTCTTTTTTTTTTTTTTTTTCCTTATCCACCTACACGTCTTTTTTTCCCTTCCCTCTTCCCCAACATCTCCTTCTCTCCCTCTCCATCTTTCACCTCACTTCGCCTTTCCACAGATTTCCCCCCCCCCCTTCCACCTCTCCTTCCCTTTCTACTACTTACTAGTATTTATATTTTTTTATTTACGCAAATATTTGAAAACTATTTTCTACTTTGAGTCTTTCTTTGAATTCACCACCTACCATACTTTGTATTCCCGTCCATCCAGTATATTTATTCATTTACATGGGATTGAATTCCTTTCCAAGACTTCAAGTCTCCCACTACGTGATTTTGTATTCCTTGTATTTTACAATTAGCCGTCCCCCGTGGTGTAGTGGTTAAGACACTCGCTCGGCGCTTTGCGAGCGCTTTGTCCTGGGTTCGTATCCTGGCCGGGGAGGATTGACTGGGCGCCAATCCTTAACTGTAGCCTCTGTTTACCCAACAGTAAAATGGGGACCTTGTTGATAAATGATTAATCGGGTCGTATTCCGGGTAATATTAGTATTAAGGACCTGCCCGTAACGCTACGCGGCTGGTGGCTGTACAAGAGTGTATGAACTCTTGTTTATATACATAAATAAATAAATAAATAAAAATTATTCACGGTTTTTAATTCTCGCTCTTGGTGGTATTGAATGGTATTACTACTCGGGTTTTGCATTCACCTTCTACCTGACATTGTATTCTCCGTGTGTCTGGTGCTTGTATTCATCGTCTACCCCGAGACTGAATTCCCACTTTACCCGTATAAATAATTTAAGGTTCGTTCCGCTTGTGGAAATGAGAGTGAGGGAGCAATTTCCTGCAACAGTAACTGGTGGGATGGGTGTAGGGGAGGCCCACCCTGCTTCCTCACCCACACCATCACCCACACCATCACCCACACTATGGGTGGTGATGGAAAAGGCTCGTAGAGCATCTGGAGGGAAATAACTTTGTAACGCACCACCAACATGGGTTCAGAGATGGTAAATCGTGCCTCACAGGTTTAATAGAATTTTATGACCAGGCAACAAAAATTACGCAGGAAAGAGAAAGGTGGGCCGACTGCATTTTTCTGGACTGCCAGAAAGCCTTTGACACAGTACCCCATAAAAGGCTGTTAAAAAAGTTGGAGCAACAGGCAGGAGTAAAAGGGAAGGTGCTCCAGTGGATAAAGGAGTACTTTAGCAACAGGAAACAACGAGTAACGGTGAGGGACGAGACATCAAAGTGGCGAGATGTCACCAGCGGAGTCCCACAGGGCTCAGTACTTGGACCCATCCTGTTTCTAATATATGTGAACGATCTTCCGGAGGGTTTAGACTCATTCCTCTCAATGTTTGCTGATGATGCAAAAATTATGAGAAGAATCAAGACGGATGAAGATAGACAGAGACTACAGGATGACCTGGATAAACTGGAGGAATGGTCTAGAAAATGGCTGCTAAAGTTCAACTCAGGAAAGTGTAAGGTGATGAAATTAGGAGCAGGGAGCAGGAAGGGAACACAAGGTATCATCTGGGAGGTAAAA